GCCAACTGGGAACAAGAAGAACGCAAATCGTAAAGAGAGGACATGTAAAAATGGTAGCCGCCGTATTGCAAACCGAGAGGGAGAAAAAACGGAGGCGGGATGCGACGGTGGTGGGCCTGATGGGCCCCCACCGGGCCGGGGCGAACCGAAAGGGGAGGAGGGCTCTTATTTATCAATGTCCGTCACGGACCGCGTGTGAGGGGTGGGGGGTGGGGGGAGGTCCCGCCAGGCGGTCACACTCGGCTAGGGGCGTTTCAAGTCGCAGGGCGGCGGCGGTCCCCTTCGACCAGTAACCGTGCAGTGAGAGGGAGGGGATGTACGGAGGGACAAATCTGGGCAGTGGATGGGTGTGCAAGACTACTATGCAAAACTGCAAAAATGGAAAGTTTTACACTTTAAACTGTGAAAATTTAGGGGCAGTAACCATGTGCACACTACTTACTGGACACTCGGAAGCCAGGGAGTACATGAACGCTTTTTGGTTTGCAGAGTAAACATTTTATATGAGACTTTAGTTTCAGTTGAATCTGTCATCTTGTTAAACAGTTTGATTTGCGGAGTGTTTTTCACCTGCTGGTTTGGTGCGTGTGCGGCCGTCGTGAACACGGTCGTGACAGGCACTGAGTAGCGCCCACTCCCCACCTCACACTCCGAACTCATTCGGAGTCCTGCAAACTTTCCATGCCAATTGAATAAAGGCAAGGAAAGGGAAAGAGGGGGTAGATGAGGTGGGAGAATGGGAAAGTGGAGGGAGGTAGGCGGGGACGGAAAGAGAGAGGGACAGACTAAAGGGGGAAAGGAAGAGGAGGAGGAGGAGCTAAGAGAAAGGCAAATGTCTTTAAACCTTTTTTCCCCCTCTGCCGACCGTCCTCCCTACCTCCCCCTTCTCTCCACCCCCTGGACACGAAAATAAATATTTACGGAGAAATCCTTTTCCCTCTTATCGTCGTGATCCCTCTATCCCCCAGTCTCGCTCACCTGCTCACCCCATTCCTCTATCCTCTCCATCTTGTCTCCATCCCCAATCGTCCTCCTTGACTGTGTGGCTTTCTGCGAGCTGTTGCCCCGTAACTGAATACGAAACGTTTCCGACATTTCTGGCATTGGAAGGACGTTGACAGAAAAAAAACAACGCCATCCTTACCAAAAGTACGACGAAATTTTGCGGTGAGGCGTCCTAGTGCACTGGCCCTGCACGGCGCGATGGCGCGTGTTACTTTGCACACATTTCGACCTTTAGAACCTCTAATTCCCACTCTCTTTCCCTCTTCTTACGTCCTCTCTGACAGATGCATAAGAGGGGCCGGCGTCGTAATCGGCAAGGAAAACAACTGGTGGAAGAAGGAGGAAAGGAAATAAAAATATAGTGTGAAAAATAGACGTGAGGGAGAAGTGACTTTTAGGGCCGCGTCAGTTGGGCCCGGGGGGAGCGCCCCGCCGTGTACTTGAAATGAAAATCAATATTCTTTTGCCGCACGGCTGCCCGCTCAAACGGTATAATTACGTATTAAGAAGTAGAATCAGGGCCACGGTCGGGGCGGCGGGGTTTGACAGACTTTCCCTTATCTAAACTTTTTTTTCTATAAAAGTCCTTTTTTTGGCGGGGAAAGATTTCACTCTATTGCGCCGCTTGGGGTGCCTCGTGCCCCTCACCAGCCGCAGTCATCAACATCTCGACTCTTTTCGTGTGACAGTTTTTTTTTTCTACCGTCTTGATAAACAGCGCCCCGCCCTCCTCTTGCACCGACTACAGCAAGTAGCCGAAACCGTTAATGCTCTTTCTTTACGGACGCGAGATCTTAATAATTATTTAAAAGACCCGCCATGCGGACACAAAAGAGGAAATCAAAGTCATCACCGTTCATATTTTCCGAAAGCGGCCTTTCGCGCTTCGCGCTGGCCACGCCACCCCGTGACCCCTTGAGCGTGGACGCCGACCCCTCCGCTGACCTCCCGCTGGCAGTCCGGCCAGTCCGCGAGTCCAGAAGTGCTGCCGCGGCAGAGGTCCACCCGACTGAGGTGGCCGAGCAGGAGCGCTCATGAGTTATGGATTTGGCCGCAGTGTACCTTTGCACAGCAGCACAGCGGGCGGGGCCGAGGACGAGCGAGGAGCCCGGGACGTGAGGTGGACAGCGGCAGAGCAAGGCAAGACGGCCCAAGTCACCCCCCGGCTTTCGGCCGCTGCCTCCGCCGGGCGCACAAAAGACGTTAAGTCTGTCGCCTGATTTCTGTTTTCTCCCCTCGCCCCTCCGCAAACA